TCTTTCTTTCTTTCTTTCTTTCTTTTTCTTCCTTCCTTCCTTCCTTCCTTCCTTCCTTCCTTTCTTTCCTTTCTTTCTTTCTTTTCTGCCTGCCTGCCTTCTTCTGTCTGCTCCACTGTCCTGCTTTGCTTTTTTCTTCCCTCTTTCTGTCTCTCTGCCCTCCCTCCCTCTATGCTCTCCCCGTCTTTCTTTCTTTCTTTCTAATCTAAAGTTGTGGGCAACCTTTTTTAAAAAGGGGGGGGGAGGGAGAGTTGGAAGGGGTCGACTTCAGTGAACGTACCTCAATCAGATCGAGGGCGTTTTCAGCAAAGGCCGCCTTAGGAGTACCATAATTAAATTAATAACAAAGTACCTACCTATATAGTTTAAAAAATTTGGCTCTCCAAAGAAATGTCAGTCGTAGTACTGTTGATATTTGGGTCTGTTGACTAATGAGATTGGATTCATACCCTGTTCTTCACTACCAAGAGGAATCTCAGATTGCCTGACAAGTTTCTCATGGACCTGAAACCCTCAGAAGCTGACACTGTGCTGGTTACACTGACATCTAAGTTACCATTCAACTAAGCCCGGGGTTACAGGTTGTTGTGTTGTGCAGTTAAAAAGAAGAAGTTAAAAAAAGAAGTTAAAAAGAAGAAGAGATTGGATTCAGCTGACATTTAACTTACCACTCTGGCTAGGCGGGGGTTAGTATGGACCCTCAGAAGCTGACACTGTGCTGGCTACACTGACATCTAAGTTACCATTCAACTAAGCCCGGGGTTACAGGTTGTTGTGTTGTGCAGTTAAAAAGAAGAAGTTAAAAAAATTAGTTAAAAAGAAGAAGAGATTGGATTCAGCTGACATTTAACTTACCACTCTGGCCAGGCAGGGGTTAGTATGGGCTAGCCCAGAGTAACCCCCCGCCTGAACTAACCCCCGGGGTTACTCTGGCCTGGCCCGGCAGGGGTTACTCTGGGCTGTTACAGCCGGCCAGATTAACCCGGAGTTACTCTAGCCTAGGCCAGAATAACCCCTCAATAACCCCTCCGGGGTTATTCTAGGCTAGGCCAGAATAACCCCGGGGTTACTCTGGCCGGGGGGTTAATCCGGCCTGTTACACCGGTACTCAACCAACAACCAATGCCGTTGGCTGAATGTGCATACACGTCCCAGTCAGCAGGCGCACCGCTGCATTTTGTACCCGCTGAAGCTTCGGAGTCAGACTCAAGGACAGGCCCGCAGAGAGCAAGTTGCAGTCATCTAACCTGGGAGTGACCATGGCATGGATCACTGTCGCCAAGTCACGGGGGGGAGGGGGAGGGAACCTGTTGCCCGGCCAGCCGAAGATGGTAAAAGGCTGACCTGGCAGAACTGGTGACCTGGGCCTCCGTAGACATCTGGGATCACCCGCAAGCTCCTCACCATTGGGGCAAGGGCTGAGAGTTGGATTCCCGATCCTGTCCCCCCACGACTCAGGTACAGGACCTCCGTCTTCGCCGGATTCAATCTCGGCCGGCTTCGTTACCATTCACCCCCAGCCTCCAGGTCCCACCTGGTGGCTGGCATCCTTAAGTCCGCCCCAGCCTGCAGGGGGCAAGCCGAGAAAAGGGGAGAGGCGTTGCTTTGGCCCCTCTTTTCCTCTAGGAAAGGAGGGTTGCCGGCCTCTGGTGGGGGCTGCGGATCTCCCGGAACACCGACTGATCTCCAGGCGGCAGAGATCGGTTCCCCTGCAGAAAAGGGAGGGTGCTTTGGGGGGGGGTGGACTCTATGGAATCGAAACCCTGCTGAGTCCCCCCCTCCCAAACCTCACTGTCCCCAGGCTGCACCCCCCACATCTTAGGCCGATCACAAGAGGGAGGGCAGGAAGGGCTTCCCCTCAGTGCTTAGTCTTGCAGGCCCTTGCGCAGTTCCGCAGGGCCTGCAAGACGGGGCTCTTCCGCCAGGCTTTTGAGTAGGAGCCGCCAGTACCTTTACCATCACCACCTTTGCCATCATTACCAACTGGCCCTGTGAACGACAGCGCTGCGTGGAGCTGACACCATTGAACTGGGAGTACCAGCTTTGAGATGCCATCTTTTATTGACGACTGATTGAAACATCTAGAGGGCTTGGAATATTGTAAAGGATTGTTTTAATGTTGTTTTTAACTTGTTTTATGTATTGGCATTTGCCCTATTTGTGAGCCGCCCTGAGCCCGCTTGCAGGGGGTGGGCTATGCATTAAAATAATAAATAAATAAATAGTTCTCGTGGCCCCTTTCTTACACCCCCAGGGAAATGCTGATTGCCACTTTGGGGTCAGGAAGCAAATTTTC